GGGTATTTGTCTTCAATCTCATTAATTCTGTCTTCCATTGATTCAATTCTCAATTCTACTCCTTTGCCCTTTCAATGTGTTATCTATTTCTGAAAATTCAGTATTAATCGTCTGGATTTCTCTCTGTAGATTTTGTATCATTTCTAACTTTTTATTTATTTTGTCATTTTGTTCTTATATTTTCTTCCATAATTGTTCTAGGGTTTGTCTGTGTTTTCCTTAATTTTGCCAATGTTTTCCCTGATCTGTCTCTCAATCCTTTGAAGAGGCCTAAATATAATTCTTTTGAATTCTGTATCAGGGAGTTCCAATACTGCTTCTTCCTCAGAGACATGCTCTGGGTCTGTATCTCACTCCCTTGTTTCTACTACTTTATCTTGCTTCTTTGTGTGGACTGTGATGGTCTGTTGTCTGCAAGACATTGTGACATTGTTGTATTTAGAGCTCTGTTAACTGTTTGTGAAGAGCAGTTAAGGATGAGTCAGGCTCTTCTTGGTGGTCATTTATCATTGGCCCATTGGTGGAGAAAGAAGTGGTGGTTCTCACTCAGTAAATGCAGCTGCAGGAAGGTGTGGGTGTGGTTGCATCATACAGGTACCATTGCTATCTCCCACTCAGTTAGACAAAAACAACCACCAAAAAGTAAAAGCAAGCAGACAAAAAACACACCACATAAACATACAGGAACAGTCACACACACACCAAAAAAAAAAAAAAAAAAAAAAAAAACTTGCAGTATCTGGGGAGAAGGCAATAAGAGAAAAATGGTAGAGTAGGATAATAATGAAGAAAAATGGGAAAAATGCAAAAAGAAAACAAAGAATGGGATTAAGCATGAAAAAGAAAAAAAATGGGAACCAGGAGCAGGGAAGAGAGGAAAAGCTGAAAACTAGAACCTGGCAAGTGAAGGATAAAGAATAATAATAAAAAGGACAAGAAAAGAAGAAGAAAAAATATTTTAAAACAGAGAAAAACAAACAAACTAAAACAAAGGAAAGGAAAAAAAAATAAAACATGGGGGCAGGGTGGGGCAGGGCCCCCAGGCTCCAGCTGAGCACACAGACTGGGGTGGAATTCCTGCTGGCCCAGAAGGTGGGTGGGAGTGAGGGATGGCCACACCTCTGTTCACCAAGAGGGTGTGGGGTGTAAGAGTAACAAGGGGAATGTCACACCTTCCAGTTGCTGGCATCTGGAATGTCCTTGTGATTCCCAGCAAATGGAGCCTGTTCTTAAGTCCCTGGAATCTGGGAGAGCGTTGTCACTTTCAATATCCAAAATGGTCGAACCTCTTGTAAACATTCAAAATGGCTGCACTCTCCAGACAGGCACAAGTCCACAGCTCAGCCCACCTTTCTCTTTGCTGCTTCCCCTTTTATTCACCGGCCACCAGTGCAGTCCTCTGTGCAGCCCCTGGCTAGCAGCACTGATTTTTAGGTTAATTCTTATGTCCTAACACCACTCGGCAATATCCAAGCTGTCTGTGCCATCAGGATCGCTGCTGGACCGCAGCTCCATATGTCTCCTTTTTTGGTGTTTTCATGCGGGTTCTTCTACTAGTTGGAGTTTAGTCCACTTCTGTATCCTTCTCTTCAAAGCTCAGGGCTTCAGGATTATCTTCTGTGTTAACCCTTTTCTTTGTTGCAGAGGTTCTATGCAGTCTGTCTGCCTCTTCTGCCGTCTTCGATGGGGCCACTTTTGTCCTCTGCCATCTTTGCTTGGTTTTGGGTGTAGGAGTTCCCGCCACTCCCTGTCATAGTCACAGGGGCACTCTTGGTGGCTGACACATGCCCTGGCAGTTCCTCTAGTGGAAGAGAGCTAGGAGTGTAAAGCCCTCATGTGCAAACGTCTCCTGTCAGGATCCCTTCGTTTCACGGTCAAGGTGCAGGCAATCAGGCTGGGAGCAGAATGCCCTGGATCAGTGTTCTCCAGAGGGAATGCTGCTCCACAGGGGACATTTGACAGCGTCTGGAGATCTTTTGGACTGCCACAACTGGGGGTTGCTACTGGCAACTAATGGGTAGAGACCAGGATGCTGTGGGACATTTTACAGCTCTCAGGACAGCCCCCTACAGCACACAGATCTCTAGCCCAATTTGATCATAGTGTTGAGGTTGGAGATCCTGGGCTCAGTTGTTTACAAACTGAGAGCAGCAAACTGAGGCTGTAAAGAGCCAGATAATAAATATCCTAGTGCCTGCAGGCCAGGCCTCTGCTCAGCTCTTCAGCTCTGCTATAGTAGCATGAGAACAGCCCCAGATGATAGGTAAATGAACATGGGTGTGTACCAATAAGACTTTATTGTCAGAAAAAGTTGTGGGTCTTACCCAGCCTACTCCTGAAATACATCTTCATCGCATAAAAACTGTGAAACAAGGTTTAGTATGCAGGAGGTTATACTCAACCAGAAGGACATTCTGCACTGGGCACATCTGCTGTAAAAGACTTCTTTAAAGTGTTAAGGAGTAAAGATGTCACCTTGAAGATTAAGGTGTTCCTGACCCAAGCCATGGCTTTTGCACTTGCCTCTGTAGATGTGAGAGCTGGGTAATGAATGAGGAAGACTGAAGAAGAGTTGACGCAGTTGAGTCATGATATTAGCAAAGAATACTAACAGCCTTGGAGACCCTGTGGGACAGTTCCACTCTGTCCTCTAGGGGCGCTGTGGGTCTGAATTCTACTCCACAGCAGTGGGTTTGGTTTGGGCTTTGCTTCTGTGAAGATTGACAGCCTTGGAGACCCTCTGGGGCAGTTCCACTCTGTCCTCTAGGGGCGCTGTGAGTTGGAATCAACTCCACTGCAGTGGGTGTGGTTGGGGCTTTGCAATGGGTTTGGTTTGGCCTTTGCTTCTATGAAGATTGACAGCCTGGGAAACCCTGTGAGGCAGTTCCACTCTGTCTTCTAGGGGCACTGTGGGTCAGAATGGACTCCAGGGCAGTGGGTGTGGTTTGGGCTTTGCTTCCGTGAAGATTGATTGACAGCCTTGGAGACCATCTGGGGCAGTTCCACTCTGTCCTCTAGGGGCGCTGGGGGTCGGAATCCATGCCCTGGCAATGAGTGTGGTTTGGGCTTTGCTTCCATGAATATTGACAGCCAGGAAGACCTTCTAGGGCAGTTCCACTCTGTCCTCTAGGGGCGCTGAGTCAGCATCCACTAAGCAGCAGTAGGCTCATTGATGCAAGAATTGGAGGATCGGCTTGCTCCCAGAAGAGTTGAGGTGACAGGCTGGCTGTTCTCCTGTCTTTACAGGGTGGTTCTCTGGATGAAGAGTTAGCCAGAGGGCTTCTGACTGAATCCTGTGGATGAAGCTAGCACCGAGGGCTGGTCATCTTAGGGAGGTTGAGATCTGCTCTGGGAGGAGGACTTTCCTAACAGGAGGGGTCTTCCAGAAGATGACAGCTGTGATGGGAGGGGTGAAGGTCTTCACCTGTGCCAACAGCGAGACCCCTGTTCAGTGGTTTTGCATTACTACAGGGTTAGGTTAGGTAGGAACTCTGGTGGCTTAGTGCCTAAGGCATTTGACTGCTAACCAGAAGGATGGCAGTTCAAACCCACCAGCCACTCCTTGGAAGGAAGACTGGGCAATCTACTTCCATAGACATACTGCCTCGGAAGCCCAAGGAGGGGTCGCTATGAGTTGGGATCGACTCGATGGCAGTGAGTTTGGTTTTGGTTTTTACAGGGTTAGGTGGATGCAGGGCACTAGGTAGCCTCTAGCATTGCTTCCAAACTGAGCTTCTGAGACTCAGGATGTCAGTTTCTGTCTAAGAAAACTACCAGACTTGCATTCATCAAAAAAAAAAAAAAAAAGGTAAGTAAAGGGACATTAGGGCATAGAAGAGCAAGATAAGATCCCAGTGAAAGATCATGGAGGATATTAAAGAGAGAAAACAGGATGTGTCAAGGCCGAGCTGGGAGAAAGTCAAATGTAAAACCAGGGACCGTTCCCTGGCACCTCCACGTGCATTAGAGCAGAACTCCATAGGGTTTTTCAGAAGTAGATCAACAGGCTTTTTTTCCAAGGTGCCTCTGGATGGACTCAAACCTCCAACCTTTTGGTCAGAAGCTGGGCATGTTTCACACTTTTCATACCCTCCAAGACATCCTAAGTAGTTGTGAAAAACCCATTGCCATGGAGTGGATTCTGACCCACAGCACCCCTAGAAGACAGAGTGGAACTGCTCTAGAGAGTCTCTAAGGCTGTCAATCTTCACATAAGCAAAGCCCAAACCACACCCACTGCCATGGAGTCAATTCCCACTCACAGCGCCCCTAGAGGACAGAGTGGAACTGCCCTACAGGGTCTCCAAGGCTGTCAGTCCTCATGGAAGCGAAGCCCAAACCACACCCACTGCAAAGCCTAACCACACTAACAGCAGGGGAGTCAATCCCACTCACAGCGCCTCTATAGGACAGAGTGGAACTGCCCTACAGGGTCTCCAAAGCTGTCAGTCTTCATGGAAGCTGACTACCGGCCTCATCTTTCTCCCTCCGAGCTGCTGGTGGGTTCCAACTGCTGACCTGGTTAGCATCCCAGGGCTTTAACCACAGCACCACCAAAGGTCCTAGGTACAAAGATGTCAGAATATGGGGTGAAAAAAAGATAAGGAACAAAGGTGGGCTCAAGTGACTGTCAGCAGACAGGGTCAGATACGGCTTTCTTCTCTCTGGCCAATTCTTTTTTTTTTTTTTAAGAGGCTACCAAATGCATTTATTTATTTTCTAAATTGTGATTTGGGTGAAAGTTTGCAGAGCAAATTCACTTTCCATACAGCAGCTCACATACACTTTGTCTCATGACATTGACTACAATCTCCCACAATGCAACAGCTCCCTCCCACTTCCTCCCCATAGTTACCTCTTCGCTGTGTCCTTCCCTCCCATGCGCTCCTGTCCCCTGAGCTGTCTCCCTGTGCACACACAGCCCTTCTGTTCTCCCATGATTGATCTCTCCTAGGAGTGTATCTACCTGATGTAAATGTTCACCTAATATGCCCATTCAGGTGGTTTAGCCGCCGTGGTGTATACCGACACCTTGCAAGCTGTGATTATGCTTTTGGGATTCATCGTGTTAATGGTCTTTGGTAAGTAAGACTTGAGGGTCCTGGCAAGGTGGGTGAAACCTTTGATTCTGAGCACTGCCTGGGGTCACTTCAGCACCCTCATCTCTCAGGTGAAGAGAACAAGGCCCTCAGGACCCGAGTGCCATCTGAAGGTCTCACAGCAAAGAGGGGTAGAACTTCTGCTCAGTTCAGAAGAAACGGGAGGAGAGTGATAGGAGCAGGGAAAATAGGAGCCATCTGGGTGGCACACACTAATGCTCACCAGGCGGTTCCTCTCCACGTGGACCCCTCTCCCCTTACCCATTTGATTAAACCCATCTGTCCAGGTAAGAGGAGCTCTGTGGTGTGGCAGTTAAAGCATTAGACTGATAACCAAAACCTGAGGTTCAAACCCACCAGCTGCTCCGTGGCAGAGAGATGTGACAGTTGGCTTCTGTAAAAATTGACAGCCTGGGAGACCCTTGTGGGGCAGTTCCACTCTGTCCTCTAGGGGCGCTGTGGGTCAGAATGGACTCCAGGCAGTGGGTGTGGTTTGGGCTTTGCTTCCATGAAGACTGACAGCCTGGGAGACCCTGTGGGCAGTTCCACTCTGTCCTCTAGGGGCGCTGTGGGTCAGAATGGACTCCAGGCAGTGGGTGTGGTTTGGGCTTTGCTTCCATGAAGACTGACAGCCTTGGAGACCCTGTGGGGCAGTTCCACTCTGTCCTCTAGGGGTGCTGTGGGGCAGAGTGGACTCCACAGCAGTGAGTGTGGTTTTTTTGGTCCTTCATTGCCCACTCATCAACTAGTCCTGACTCCAGAGGACTGTGAACCCATTTCAGAGATGAAGTTTTTATCAAAGGAACATGTTTTTATATGCTAACGTTTTTAAGAAATAGTTGTTAGTAAAGCCAGTGGATTATTGGCTAAGGCCTTTAAAAATATATCTTGCTTTAGTGTTAAGAATTTACACCACTTAGGAAATTGGGAGGAAAAATGCCACGGGTGCTGAAGAAAATTTCAAATATGAAGGGTCATGGAAGTGTTGCTGGCATTGCTGAAAGAATATTCATTTCCATTTTAGGGATCCTTAGATAGCTGGTAGGAGTTCTGGTGGCGTAGAGCCCAGGCATTTGACTGCTAACCAGAAGGATGGCAGTTCAAACATACCAGCCACTCCCCAGAAGGAAGGTTGGGCAATCTACTTCCATAGTGATACTGCCTCGGAAACCCAAGGAGGGGTCACTATGAGTCAGAATCGACTTGACAGCAGTGAGTTTGGTTTTGTGGATAGCTGGTGACACAACTTTAGTTCAAAACTAATGGAAGCAAATAAGTACTATTTTTGGCTCCATAATGACAAATCCCAGGCATACACTTCCTTCAACCAGGGCTCGATCCAGGGTCCTCAATGAGCCAGGGAGACAAAACAGCGTCCAAGTGCCATGCGAGCTCCTAACCCCCACAGGAATGATGCAGGAGAATTCTGGGGCAATTCTTATAGACCAGCTGGGGGCACATATCCATTCCTGACACATCAGTTGTCGCCCAGGGATGGGGCACTGTCCAGGCCCGAGTCACATGCCGGATGCGAATGGAGCAGTTGACTGGGGCCTTCTCACCACACAGAATGGGGTGCACCTGGAAAGAGGGCTCCCATGCAGGAGGACAAGGGGTGCGGGGCACACTACCACCATGATACCACTGATGAGTCTTGCTCTTTGGAAGAGTTGCTCCTTTCTTGGGCACGTGAGGGTGACCGTCAGTCCATCAATCACCATCTTTTACAGTTGCTCCTTACCCGTCAGATAGAGTCAGTCACACTGAGCCGTGGCCATCTGGCCCTTCAGGCGAGTGTGACTCTGCTCTGTAAGGTGCTGATACTACTATGGTCTTTGAGCCTTTAAGGAAGTAGGAGGATACCAGGGCCTACGGGAGGAGTACCTGCACGCCATCCCGAGTGTCGTCAGTGAAGGGAACTGGACTGCCAAGCCGGAATGCTACAGCCCTCGGCCGGATTCTTTCCATATCTTCCGAGACGCTGTCAGTGGAGACCTTCCCTGGCCTGGAATTGTCTTTGGCCTCCCCATCCTCTCCTTGTACTCCTGGTGCACTGATCAGGTACGTGGGCGCCAACCTCCGTGTGTTTGATGCATCACGTCTGTGCAGTCGCACGGCCACAGTGCCTGGCTCTACCCAGCGGTCAGGTTTCCTGGCCAAAGGGGTTTCCAAGGCGGTATCACTATAGAAGTAGATTGCCCCATCTTCCTTCCGAGGAGTGACTGGTGGGTTTGAACCGCCAGCCTTCTGGTTAGCAGCCAAATGCCTTTGGCAATATGCCACCAGAGCTCCTTTATTTATGGCATACATAATAAATTATGAGGTGCTCTGGTAGTGTAGTGGTTAACAAATTTGGCTGCTAACCAAAAAGATCAGTGGTTGGAACTCACCAGCTGCTCCAAGGGAGAAAGATGAGGTAGTCGGCTTCCATAAAGATTGACAGCCCTGAAGACCCTGTGGGGGCAGTTCCACTCTGTCCTCTAGGGGCGCTGTGAGTGGGAACCGACTCCACGGCAGTGGGTGTGGTTTGGGCTTTGCTTCTGTGAAAACTGACAGCCTTGGAGACCCTCTGGGGCAGCTCCACTCTGTCCTCTAGGGGCGCTGTGGGTCAGAATGGACTCCAGGCAGTGGGTGTGGTTTGAGTGTTGCTTCCATGAAGACTGACAGCCTTGGAGACCCTGTGGGGCAGTTCCACTCTGTCCTCTAGGGGTGCTGTGGGTCGGAACTGACTCCATAGCAGTGTTTTGTTTCTTGGTTTTTTTTGTTTTTTTTTTTCCTTATATGAAGCTATACAGGATCTCTAGTAGCATAGTGCCTAAGGCACTTGACTGCTAACGAGAAGGCTGGCAGTTCAAACCCAAGCCACTCCTTGGAAGAAAGGTTGGGCAACCTACTTCCATAGTGATACTGCCTCAGAAACCCAAGGAGGGGTTGCTATGAGTTGAGCCCGACTCAACGGCACATAGCAACATATGAAACTTAATTTTTAAAGGAAATTTCTCCCATAGTCCTATCAGACACAGAAACCATTCTCCTTTTTCCATCTTCCCAGTCACTGTCTGAAGAAGCATCATTTATTTCTAAAGTGGAAAATAACATCATTTTTTGTTGTGATCATTGAGGGTTATATATGGTCTTCCACTGTGTTATTTTATGGTAAGGCGTAGATCAGAAGACAGTATACAGTGCACACACCCATTTGAAAGAATGTCTTTGTTGCCATCGCTCAGGCTAAAAGATAGAACACTGGCCTTTCAGATAAAAATGACACACTTTCATTATAAAAATGCACAAAGTACAATTCAAAGATGAAGCCACCCAAATCCCACAAGAAGTGGGATTCTACCATATCTGTGGGAGCATGTTTCCAGGCGCCTTTACATAGAAACAGAAAGGATGTAGGAATTATTTTACAGAAACTGTATGTTTTTATTTTTTACTCTGATAGGTATCAGAGGCATCTCTCTTTTTTTGGCTGATTGTTCTAAGGAACGCATCTCCCTGTTGTAGGTGTTCAGCCCGTAGGCCTGCCTATTGTTTGGTTGAGAGTTAAGCCATGGGAGTGAGTTCAATTCTAGGCCCAAAGGGTGATACAAGACCATAGTCTTGGAGGTTCCACCAGGCTCTATCAGACCACTAAGTTGGTCTTTTTTATTATTTTGAGTTTTATTCCACATTTTTCTCCCACTCTATCCAGGACTTCCAATTTTGATCCCATTCCAAGTGGTGGGCAGTGGTAGCCAGGCACCATCTAGTTCTTCTAGTCTCTGGGTCATATAGATCGAAGTTCTCATGGTCCACTAGTCCTTTGGACTAACAGTTTCCATGCATCTTTGATGTTTTTCACTCTTCTTTGCTCTGGATGAGGAGAGACCAATAGTTGCCACTTTCACAGGCATCTTTTCATATCAGTCAGTAAGTGTCACCATTTTCATTTTGAATGGAAGGATTTTGATCCACTGTGTATATGCACCAAACGTTTGCAACCAGTTCTCAGTTGACAGGCTTGACATGGCTTCCAATGTTCACTGTCCCAACACTGATGCCATGGACATTCACAGCCCACGACCTGCACACTTGTCTGTTTCCTAGGAATCTCATGATATTGGGTTCCTATTGTAAATGGTTTTCTTAAAATTCTATTTCCTGATTCTTTATTATTTATATGTGTTGTTATTTTTGTTGTTGGGTGCCATCAAGTTGTCTCCCACTCATAGCGACCCTGTGTACAACAGAATGAAACACTGCCGGTCCTGCGACATCCTCACAACCCTTGCTATGCTTGAGCCCGTTGTCACGGCCATGGTGCCAGTCCTATCATTGAGGGTCTTCCCCTTTTTCCCTGACCCTCTATTTTACCAAACATAAGATCCTTCTCCAGGGAATGGTCCCTTCTGACAACTTGACCAAAGTAGGTGAGACGAAGTCTGGCCATTCTCCCTTCCAAGGAGCATTCCGGCTGCACTTCTTCCAGGACAGATGTTTGTTCTTCTGGTAGTAAATGGTATTTTCAGTAATCTTCACCAACACCACAACTCAAAGGCATCAACTCTTCTTCAGTCTTCCTTACTATTGTCTAGCTTTCACATGCATTTGAGGTGACTGAAAATACCATGGCTTGGGTCAGGCTCACCTTAGTCTTTAAAGTGACATCTTTGCTCCTTAACACTTTAAAGAGCTCTTTTGCAGTAGATTTTCCCAGTGCAATATTGCATCTGATTTTTTTTTTAATTTTTATTGTGATTTGGGTGAAAGTGGACAGAGCAAATTAGTTTTCCATACAGCAGTTCATACACATTTTGTCTCATGACATTGACTGCAATTTTCCACAATGTGACAGCTCTTTTTTCACTTCCTCCCCATAGTTACCTCTTCCCTGTGTCCTTCTCTCCCATGCACTCCTGCCCCCTGAGTTGTCTCCCTGTGCAAACACTGCCCTTCTATTCCCCCATGATTGATCACTCCAAGGAGTATATCTACCTGATATAAATGTTCAGCCATATGCCTGTCTTCTGTTTGGCTGGAAGCCCCAGGTATGGGTTCAATTCCAGACCTGAAGGGCAGCTAGGGGCCATAGTTTCAGGGGTTCAGCCAGGCTCTATCAGACCAGCAAACCTGGCCTCTCCGCCCCCCCTTTTTTTTTTTCCAAATGATTTTGAGTTTTGTTCCACATTATTCACCCACTCTAGGCATCTGATTTCTTGACTGCTGCTTCCATGGGTGTTGATCATGGATCCAAGTAAAATGAAACCCTTGACAACTTCAGCCTTTTCTTCATTTATCCTGATGTTGCTTATTGGTCTTGTTGTGAAGATTTTTGATTTCTTGATGTTGAGGTGTAATCCATATTGAAGACTGTAGTGTTTGATCTTCATCACTAAGTGCTTCAAGCCATCTTCACTTTCAGCAAGCAAGGTTGTGTCTTCAGCGTATTGCAGGTTGTCAATGAACCTTCCTCCAATCCTGATGCCATGCTCTTCTTCATATAGTCCAGCTTTTCAGATTATTTGCTCAGCAGGCAGATTGAGCAAGTAGGGTGAAAGGATACAACCTTCATGCACTCTCTTCCTGATTTTAAACCATGCAGTGTTCCCTTGTTCTGTTTGAATGACAGCCTCTTGGTCTATGTACAGGTTCCTCATGAGCACAATTAAGTGTTCTGGAATTCCCATTCTTCTCAGTGTTATCCATGATTTGTTATGATCCACACAGTCAAATGTTTTTGCACAGTCAGTAAAACACAAGTATCTGGTATTCTTTGCTTTCAGCCAAGATCCATCTGACATCAGCAATGATATCCCTCATTCCACATCCTCTTCTGAATCTGGCTTGAATCTCTGGTAGTTCCCTGTCAATGAAGAGGCAATCATTTTTTAATTATCTTCAACAGAATTGTAATGGTGTGTGATATTAATGATATTGTTTGATAATTTCCACATTCTGTTGGATCACCTCTCTTTGGAATGGGCACAAATATGTATTCCTTTCAGTCAGTTGGTCAGGTTGCTGTCTTCCAAATTTCTTGGCATAGACAAGTAAGTGCCTCTAACACTGTGTCCACTTGTGGAAACATCTCAATAGGTATTTCATCAATTCCTGGAGGCTTGTTTTTTGTCAGTTCCTTCCAGTGCAACTTTGACTTCTTTCAACACCATTGCATCTTGATCATATGCTCCCTCCTGAAATAGATGAACATTGACCAATTCTTTTTTCAATGCATTTTATTGAAATATAATTTATGTACAGTGAAATACACAAAACTAAAGTAACATGGGTCAATTTTTTTTTACAGTGTTCCCCCTCTCCCCTCCCACCCCTGGCAATCAACAAAGAAAGTTTCCCTCCATATATAAACCTTTCCTTGACTCTCCACAACAATGAACTAATACTATATTTGTCCTTCTGTGATTGACTTATTTCACTAAGCATGATGTCCTCCAAGTTCATCCACATTATGCAGTGTTTTGCAGACTCTACATTATTCTTTAGTGCTGTATACCATTCCATTATGTGTATGTACCATAGTAGTTTGGTCATCCTGTCTTCTGCTGATGGGCATGTAGGTTGTTTCCATCTTTTTGCTATTGCAAATAGTGCTGTGATGAACATGAGTGTGTATATATCTGTTCCTGTCCTGGCTCTCACCTCTCTAGGATATATACCTGGTAATGGGATTGCTGGGTCAAATGGCATCTCCAATTCCAGCTTTCTAAGGAATCGCCATATTGCTTTTCACAGTAGCTGTATCACTTCACAGTCCCACCAGCAGTGTATGAGAGCCCCAATCTCTCCACATCCCCACCAACATTTGTTATTTTCTGTCTTGTTGAACCTTGCCATCAGTGCTGGGGTGAGAAGGTATCTCATTGTTGTTTTGATTTGCATCTCTCTTATGGCCAATGATTGTGAGCATCTCTTCATGTATTAGCTGCCCACCTGAATATCCTCCTTGGTGAAATGTCTATTCATGTCTTCTGCCCATTTTTCAATTGGATTGTTAATTACTTTGGTGTTGAGGTGTTGGAGTTTTCTATAAATCTTAGAGATAAGTCCCTTGCCAG